TGTTCCTTCTGGTGCTCTTCCCCGCCGTCCCGGCGCGGGCGGCGGCGGCTCCTCGGTGTCTGCAGCCGAGACTCCGAGCGCCGCGCAGGAGTCGTGCGCGTCCTGTAGCCTCCGAACCCCTGACCAGTCCAAGCGGCTCAACCTGGACTTTGTGGAGGCTGTGAAGAGACACATTCTAAATCGGCTGCAGATGCGGGACCGACCCAACATCACGCACCCCATCCCGAAGGCTGCCATGGTGAGCGCGCTGCGGAGGCTGCACGCCGGCAAGGTGCGCGACGACGGCCGCGTGGAGATCCCCAACTTTGACGGACAGGCGGCCTTTAACAACGAGGTCCAGGCGGAGACCTCCGAGATCATCAGCTTCGCCGAATCAGGTAATGAACCAGTGTGCACGCGCACATCGGCACGTGGCTGCGCATCCCCCTGTTGTCAGAAGACGTGTGTCAGTTAGACGTCTGTAGTCCTCTGGAACAAACCAGCTGAGAACCGGGCTCTTCTCTGGTTCTTGGAGTTCCCCTGGTCCAGTTGAGAGGTTCTTTAGGTTCTTTAGGTTCTTTGGGTTCTTTAGGTTCTTTAGGTTCTTTAGGTTTGAGGCACTGACTTGGACCTGGTCCTCAGGAACACAGGGCAGTACTAGTCTAGACCAGTATCAGGATGAGGTTCTGTCTCCGTGAAGGACCAGGTTCTGGTCCAGGTCCATCAGAACTTTTGTAGAGAGTGTGTGTGTAGAGTAGGGTCAACAACAGCGTGTTGACCTTCTGACCTTCTGACCTGATGAAACCGTCTGCTGTGGACTAATGAAACAGGTACTAGTTCACTTAGTACACCTGGTCTGTGATGGTCCTGGACCAACATGTCAGGACTGGAGTCCCAGTACTGTCTCTCTAACGGACCCTCAGAGGTCCGAGGAGAACTTCCTGTAAGTTTCCTGGAATCATCGGTTCCTGACAGAACCGAGTCACGTTCAGGTCAAATCGACCTGAAACGCACAAATATTTTGTATCCATCTCGAACAAAAACCCACACATGCGTGTGCGCACACACACACACACACACACACACAGACGTGCACGGATGCAGCCTTTCGTATTACCCATCAGCCCTTGCTGGTACCATTAGCCTGAATGGACCTTCCAGTGGGATTGATCTGAGCAGCCTCACGACAGGGGAACAAAAGGCCCGCAATTATAATAAGAGCACTACGTGTTCCTGAACACATCATGTCAACGGTCGGACGGGGGTGGGGGGGAGGGAGGGGGGAGGCAGGGGTGTGTGTGTGTGTGTGTTTGTGGGGGAGTG